TGCGCACTTTCTTTATAAAATTCCTTATTCGAAAGTATTGAAAAACAAAACAAATCATTCAAGCAAAGGGGGTAGTCCAGCAAGCAGCTTTCTGTCATTTTTTAGGGGGTGCCCCTAGAATAATGTCTAGAGATTTGAGGCTTTAAATCTTTATTCCTTTTCTTTGCCTTTTGATTTGCTTTACTTACCATTGAAATTGCAGGTCTTTGGATTTAGATGTCCATTGAAATCTAAAAAGTTAGTTCTATTTCCATTGATTCATTCCCTTTTATTCTAATTAATATTCCAGATGTCTTCAAAGTCAGGTTTCTTGATTCCTTTCACTTTAGTATTGCCAGAGTAGCTCCAGAGGTAGCTAGCTAAGGATTCCTTATTTAATTATCAATTGATTGTTTTTCTAGCATATTATTCTAGAGGCCCCAATTGTTGAGGGGGGGGGGGGGGGGGGGGGGGGGTTGATTAATCAAGAGTCTACATTAGAGGTTGAGGGGTGTCCATTAACCACCCCTCTGCGACTTGTATCCGTCTGCATTTCAGCCACCATGTCGGAGACCTGTTTGTTGGGACCAGGAGGTAAGGAGTTCGAACAAAGAACTTGCCCATACTCCCCTGCAGATTGACATGGAACCCCCAAAACCACTGGGTTGGTATTTGGAAAATTGCCTTCCACTGGTCAATTCTCCGGTTCCATGCAAGATAATCAATACCAAGAGCCTGTTGGCCGTGCTTAACACATGAGCGAGTCTCACCAAAATGGTGAATTAGCTTTGCCTTGGTCGAGGAACTGAATATCTCAATCATCCCAGCAAGCTTGGTTGATTTTCCACATGGTAGCATCGGGGAGGTCTGACCACTAAGATTTGCTAACACAACTGCGAGAAAACATCTTCAGGATTAGGGGCTTCACCCCTGGTGAATTTCACACCACTTCTTTTTTTAGGGTTTAGTTCAGCCCAACTCGGAGTTATATATATTTTTAGGTGCGCGTGCTGGTTCAAGAGGGACCAAGGGCAGCTTCATCATATCAACCGAAAGCCGATTTCCAGTGCCGATTTCCAGTGCTCCAAGCCGTTGTTTCTCGTTCGGCGCTTCGAGTCGACGCTCCAGCGAGTCGACCACCCAGGCGGTGCTCGAATCGACACGGCGAGCGTCTCTGGATTGTAGGGCGAGGGCGCTGCGGGGCTACCGCCGCTCACCAGAAAGAAGAGCACCACGCAGCCAAAAAGGATCGCGGCCACAATCCGAAACCTCCAGCCAGCAGGTTGCTGTTGTTTTGTAGTTTTGGAGTTGATCATTCCCAAATAGGATGACTTCCACCGGATGTGGTTTGAAGGGCGATTAGAAACAAAGGGGCCCTCCAAAACTTCATCGCGGTCCATCAGGAACAGCTAAGACATAGAATCAGCGGGGGATTTCCTCTTGCATTTGCTCAAGGAACCCGGAAAAAAGTCAACATAATCCCGCCTATATATATATATATATGTGTGTTTTTGTGTCTGTGTGATATATCGTGTTATATTCATTACAGTAATATTCTATGTACACCCAACATCGCCCAACCAAACTCAGCAAAACAAAACCGTTTTGTGCGTGTCACCAATATACGGCTTCTGATTGGCATTCTCACCACCTGAACGGCTATTGAACGGATGCAGCCTCACCAAACTGAAGCAGCATACCCATGCTCCCACGTGTGATGGTGCTTGCAGGACCCAGATCAGCCGAAGGAAGTGGGGTCTGGATCGGGGTCCGGCCAGAGTGGTCAGGTGCGCCACCACATCCACATCCATCCAGTCCGCCCCGGGTCTTCGCTTCCAAGAAGCTGCCCATAGATGGTGGAATTGCGAAAGGACCTGATTCTCAACCGGCGCGAACATCTGATGACCCTGATTCTGCTGGCTGGTCCAAGTCAATTCCCTATAGGTTGGGTCTATCCCAATACCTGGCCCAGT